CGGCCAAAACCTGGAAAGGGAAGTTCTGACATGCAGATTAAGACAGATGGAAGGAACTCCAGCAATAATTATTAAAGGTCTCATTTTTCACTATCAGTCTGTCTGTTATGACATTCTCCACTTGTACAGCAATGAAATGCTTCACAGTTGCCTGTGGGGCTAGGAGAGAGAGTCCTTTGCATATAGATGTAGTAAACCAAGAGCAGGACATGAGCTGGATAGGAGAAGATCACATTTTCTTTCAAAAGCTGTAACTTCAGTTGCAGGTATAGAAACTGGCTGCTTTCTGTCTTAAGGAAGTGGCATGGGGAAATAGCTTTTTCTCAAATAGTAGTGTATGACTGATGTTAATTCTTAATATTTTAAAACCTGTTAGATAATTAGCAATCACTAGCCTTCCAAACAAGGTTACAGGGCATCAAACCCAAAGAAAAATTTCCTTGCCTTTGCAACAGCATAAACTGATTTGTCAATGCAGAACGTAAGACCACATGCTGTTATAAACATGCAAATATTGGGAAGTAAGTTTTTCCATATTTCTTTGTGAGAAGTGGAGAAAGAACGAGTCCATGTGTGGTGTTTCTGCGGTATAGAAGACATACTCCTTTTACATTATTGATGAATGGTGTCCCTAGATATAGCTCCAAAGCAAAATTGTACTAAGGTTGTTAAAATGCCTTCCATAATTCATACTAGGAATGAATGATGGTTTTTCCTGTCTTCTTTCTTGCCATGTGTGAAATGAGTTTCTACCTCACTGACCCAAGCTCCTTATCTGTGACTGTTTTTGTTGCTTTGTATGATGGAGGCTGTAAAGTGTCGCTCCACAGAATAACTCCTGTGTCAAGCAAAACCCCAAGACTGCCTGTTTGGATGGAGATCTCTATTTTTCCAGCTCCTTTTCAAAATCAGCAGGCTGAGGATGCTGTCCTTATTACTATTTATCTTTCCAGTTCTGAAAAATTCAGTGAAATTTGAGTTTCATGCTTTGTACTGCCTAGGAGTGGATGTTGCAGCAATGAGGAAGGTTTTCACATATGAAAGTCATACCTTTTCTCTCTTGCTGGAAACTCCATTCTGAAGCATGTTTCATTGCACTTAAGCTACAAACTTATGATGCTGCCAAACATTGCAGTCACAGGTTAAAGTTATAGCCAAAAAAAAGTAGTATCTCTTTGACAATCTCTTTCTATCAAGCTGTTAATCATGTACCTTGTGTTTGGCAGCTAATGACTCCTGAAGTTTGCTTTTGGTCAACTGCTAAAATAGTTTTCCTGGGTCACTGTAACACAATACCTGTATGGCATGCATATATTTATGTTCATTTACCTTGCCTAAGCTTACTAGTGTATTTGCAAGTCCTAGTTCAGAACTGAAACTGTTCTGAAACTGTCTGTAAACTAAATGAAATTGTAATGTAATTAACATGTTAGAAAGGATTTTTGCTAATGCCTTCTATGGCATGAAATCAAAAGCATTAGTAAATGCCTGGATAATCATACCACTAACATAAAGATAATGGCCCACTGTAGCCAATATTTGCTTCCATGTTTATAAACTTAACTAAAAACCACTTCACCTAAGATACTCAGGTGCAATAATGACCCTTAAATATTTGGTTGCAGAGTAATCTATTTGTATACAAAATTAGGGGTCAATGACCAATAATTATGCAAGTAATTAAGCATATAGTATGGTTTATATGTGTGGGCAATTTATTTCCACTTTATGTGTTCCACAAAATTTGTGTTTGCTGTGTCAAAGGCATGCAGATATTCAGGAGTAAGAGAATACAGCAAATGAGGTAGCAGGCAGCCTGTTGTTTCATGTCAAAGAAAAGGGAGTAGTCCCAACTTTTCTTGATAGTCCTAGTTTTAAGAATACTTCAGAAGACATTTTCTTCTAGTTGTCCCTCTGAGTTACTGCATTGAGCTCCACAGCCAGAAAAAGTGATGTTATTGCTACTAATTAATGATTAGGATTAATCAGTTCATATTTTTCATATCTAAGAAGCCAATTCAGAAAAAAAATTTCCTTCTGTTAATGTAAGTAGAAAAAAATTCTGCACTAGCATCTTAAGATTATTGTTGGTAGACTGTTTAAGTAACATTACTCTTTTTCAAGTCAGTTTGAAGTAAGAGGAAGCAGTTTCCATGTTAATTCAAAGGTTCAGCACCTTATTGAGCAGTTCCATAAAGTGACATTATGTATGAGTCCTAGAGCAGTACATAGGCTTGGACCCAGTGTTCATCTAGTACTGCAGGTCATCTGCCAGACAGATAATTAAAAGTAAGAAGATGGCAAGCATATATGGTATTTCCTCCTAATACTCTCTCATTTTATGTCTATTTTCAGCTCAGAGAATTTCCTGAGGCCAATATGATTTAGGAATCCCACTTAGTACAACCAGGAGGCATCTTTTTCCATTTGCCATTCACATTCATTGCCTGAAAACAAGTACACAAGTTCTGTCTTCAAAAAAGAAAACAAATGTATTTTTAGATTTAGAGAGAGAGGATGAAACAAGGTGGCAGAACATGGTTATTTGCAGTCTCTCATGTTTTGGCTCCCTGGATTCAGTCTCCTCTCTACTTCTTGACCCTAAAAATCAAGTCACAGGCTACAAGCTTTTCTAGGGTACCTCCACACTGAAGCAATGCCATCACTATAATGCTTAAGAGCAAGCAAGAAAGAAAGAAATAGAAGTCAAACATGATGCTGAAGTATAGTAGTATTTGGTATGGCAAGCTGAGAATCATCAAGCCTGTGTTCCACTCCTGCTCCAGCAACTTATTCATGCTGTCTTGTGACTGTCTAATTCAAAGTACAACTCCTACCAGTGCCTATTGCAGACATGATTTGTAACAAAGCAGCATCTGCTTATGTACAGTTTGTGTAGGATCTGATCCATGAGGCATGCTCACAGGACACCTACTGCATCAAGCCCTGCAGGTGGGACAGGCAAAGGAACACCTATTTTGTGGTTCCCGTAGGACATGAGTAGTAGGCAACTGTCACGTCCTGTCAACAGTGAGATGCTGAGGCACATGGCCAAGGCAGATCATTAGGCAAATGTTCATTAATAAAAGGTTTTTGCTGCCTTTGAGACAAGATGGCACCAATGAGAGGTCATCACAGTTTTGGAGTTTGATGTCTAAGTCCTTCTTCAGAAGCCTATGGGTTTTTTGAATCTATACCTAAAGTCTTGATTCACTCTAGTACTACGTATTCTGTATATACATATTCACTGCAGTATCACCGTAACTTCTTTGCTATGCCCTTTGTTATGCGAAAGATAGGGCCAAGGGATGAGGCTTATTAATAAAACACTCTGTTTGGCAAAATAGTCACATGGCGTAGACTTCACAGAGGGAACAGCTCTATCCTGTTCTTCCTCACAGCCCAGGGCAGCAACTATGCTTTTTCCTACAGGCCGCACAATATGCTTGGACCACAGGCACTTAGACCGTAAACTGGGCTGAGCCTGAGAGAACTCCATTCAGCACCAGTCAGTTGTTTGAAGTTGTTTTTTATCAACAGAAGAAGAGAAGGTGCTAACGAAGTGCAAAATTATCTTTTCCTCACTGCTGCTTCCATCCTGCATCTACCAGAGTTATATTTGAGATTTCAGTGTGTTTCACAGACAAAAATGCATAAAGGCTAATTCAGCTGTCTTGCATTTCATGTAGTCATTACCTATGGTAAACAGATAAAAATTTTGCAGCCAGTGAGGAAATACTAATTCATTGTCATAACAATTTTCACTCACCTGCACATTTAAGTGTGATTCAAGAAGCAGCCAAAGTACCTGCTTATTATATCCTCCAAAGCAGAAACATAGGTAAAAACAGAACAAAAATGTTTATTGTCCCAGGGCTTGTCTCTGCTTAGCCCCATACGGTGCACCTGAGTGTCTCAAGAACACCACCTTCATTTATGGATACTTTACAAAGATCACAGAATCACAGAATCACACAGAATCACAGAACGTTAGGGATTGGAAGGGACCTCAAAAGATCATCCAGTCCAATCCCCCTGCCGGAGCAGGAACACCTAGATGAGGTTGCACAGGAAGGCGTCCAGGCGGGCTTTGAATGTCTCCAGAGAAGGAGACTCCACAACCTCTCTGGGCAGCCTGTTCCAGTGCTCTGTCACCCTCACTGAGAAGAAGTTTCTTCTCAAATTTAAGTGGAACCTCCTGTGTTCCAGCTTGTGTCCATTACCCCTTGTCAAGGGGTAACAAGACACATCAGAGCAAGGCCGTGTGGTGCTCTGGGAGGCTAAAGAGATGTCCATATATACATACTGATCAGACTGCCAGCATAAAAGACTAGCAATTTTTTTCTTCAGTTATTGATTCAGTCTTGAAGAAGTGATAAATGCCTTGTTTTTAAGATTCCCAGTGCTGAGTGCATTGAAAAGTCAAGGCATCCCTTACCTACATTTTTAAAAAATGAGACAGCTAAATCTTTTTTATCTCAAAGTTTTTATGTCACTTTCAGATGTTTAGGTATTTTAAAGTCTATTTAGTGATCATTCAAGGCTATGTCAAATATCTATTTCAAGTCAAATAGTAGCAAACCCTAAAATATCATGAATGGTCTAATAGACTTGGCTGAGCTCAGTGCTTTACAGCTGATTTATGTGAGAACAATAAATACCAATAACCTAAGTACCGACAACCCCAGGCTCCAGTTAAAAGTTCACAGACGTGAGCATCTTCCAGCTCTGGAAATTACCTGTTTTAACTGTGACTTAATCAGCTGAATCACTCTCATGCACTGTGGTCACAGATCAAAGCACTTCAGAAGGTACAAATGAAGTGGTGAAGGGACACTATGCCTGTTCCAGTGGTGTTCCAGCTGTCCTTCTAACATTGAATTTTCCATAACAAGCAGAAACCTGATTTTCATAATCACTTGATCCTCTGTGTCATTACAATTTTTCCTGTTCTTCAATGGATTTCAGTGTGATGCTGGTCAATAATTGGCTTCCCAGACTTGCTGACACTAGGAACATACACTGGAACTTTATACCTCAGAGGAGCTACCTACAGGTCAGAATTTTGGAGACCATAGTGACATATGGTCCAGGAGCTGGAGCGATATACAATGTGCCACCCACCTTAAAAACTTTGCTTGTACCATGGCACAAGAAACTGTCCTTAAAAGCACTTGGCAGCCTCTGCCTCCTTCAGAAGACACTTGTTTTTTGCTGCTGTCTTTCATTTTATTTTCTCTATGGTATTAGCTAGCCCTACTGGTTTGTAAGCCCTGCATATCCTGCTGTGTATGCACTTTTCCAGGTTGTCCTCAAATAAACAAAGTGGAAAGTGAATCTAACCACTCCATAAAAGCTCTCTATCTCTTAACAAATTTCCAAAAAAAATTTCCCATCTCTCTCTCTAAACATTAATAAGCTACTTCTTTATTGGGCTGAATATTGACTTGCACTTTGCAACCTTAAATGTTAGTTTTACCTGAGACACTGTGCTGGAAAATATCATGAAGACCAAGTACATTATGTTTGACTCTTCACCCATATCTCCTCTGGTGGGGGCATTCTGATGAGTGATGGTTTGTTAACCAGGCCTACCCTTTTGTAATAGAGTGTCACAAAGGCATTCTGATGAGTGATGGTTTGTTAACCAGGCCTACCCTTTCGTAATAGACGTCAGCAGGCCCTGCCTGAGAATGAGATCTGTAGCTAATTTAGCAGAAGGTGACCTTTCAGAGGAGGCTGGAAAGCCAGTGGAGTGTGTAATTATGGAAATAGCAGGAAAGGACCCATGCTGAAGCAGTGGAAATTAGGGGAGACCTGTGTAAAACCTTTGGCTGAGCTACATTACGTTGCACATTGGAATTGAAACCTGGTTTGGCATGAAATAATCATTGCACTACTTAGCAATATACCAAAGGATTTTTGCTCTGTGTCACCTGGAAACCATCATAGGGATGGCCTAGTCAGAAAAATTGATCATGAAGAGAATTACATTTATTTCAAGGAAACAAGAATCGTTTCTCTACTACTTCCTATGGGAAAATCTAGGAAATATTAATATCCATCCATGTTTTAATGGTATTCTAAATAATAGAAAAAAAATATAGTAACATACTGAAGTAAGACCACAATTGCTTTGGATATGCAGAGAATGGGCTTATTTCCCTGACTTACCAATTAGCAGGTCACATCTCCGGCTCCGGAGCTGCTGACATCATCAGTTTTAGTGTTTCAGTGGGTGATAATTTCACTTATACCGAGAAGATGCACAAACAGGGAGAGCATGAGCTCTAGATTTCTGTTATTCAGGCATTTGAGTAGTGCACATTTCTCATGAATAAAACGCTCCCGAATGTTTGATCACTGACTGTACTGCCAGCCCTGTAGGAGGGACCCACACCCACCCCTCTGGTCCCAGATTAGGTACACATGGGGGACAGGTGGAGATGTGTGACCATCCCTGCTGCCCTCCACTGATGACCACAGAGGCTGAGGAAGCATTGCCACAGCAACACCCTCTCACACACACATATCCTCCAGGATGTGGTTGCTATGTTAATGCTCTCCTTGTGGCATCCACTCCTGCGAAGGAAAGGCTGGAGGGGTTGCCATGGAAATCATGCTCCCCTGAAGCATCGGTACTGGTGGTCTCTTCCCTGCCTTTCTGCCCCCAAAATGTCCTGCCATGAAGCTGAAATAACTCCCAGACACATGCTACTCTGTCTCACCCTAACCCCAGAGCCCTGCCAGCCCCTGCTCCCATATGGCTCACAGCAGCTTCACCAGCCATGCAGGGCTTCTGATGGGAGACCTTTTACTGTCACGGCACTGCAGCAGCTTGTGTTCAGGGACACAGACAGTCATCAGACAGACTAATGCAAGGGACCGAGTTTCTCTTCTCAAAAAACAGTGGAAATGGGAATTCACTGGTTGTGTTGATGATGGAAGTGCTCAGTGAACAGATTTGGGAAGATGTAGCAGGGTATGCATGTCTAATTGAAAGTAGATATATATTATGAGGTCAGGCTTATATCATACAACAACCACCACCATAACCATCTTTTGCTCTATAAATACTTCCTGTGTTACATTACTCTATTTACATTCCCAAAAACTCTAGAAGGTGTGAGGTCTGTTGTGGGAAGGAACTTTCACAACTAATTCTATAGAAAGGCTGTAGTTAGAAAGTGTGGCAAAATATTAAAAAACCCAAATAAACCATGGAACATAAAAAATACATATAAGTGCTTTTAGCACAGGTATCTGAACAGAAAGCACCAAAGATCTGGACTGCACAACTTAACAAAGCTTAGTCAATGAAACCCTGCTTATCCCTAGAATATCTGAGCAAAGTGATCTGTTTTAAAAGATCTTTCCTCTACAACAGGGACCATCTAGGGATTTGGGGTAATAGAGGAGTAGAGGAGTTTGCAGATATAGTCTGAAGAATCAGAAATATTGACACTGCTCAGGATTTAGGATTGTCAAGAGCTCATGTGCACACTCTGAGATTACAAATGTCTGTTTTGACACATACTCCGAGAAATAGTGAGGTCATCTACTGCCGAATCATCAAAGAGGCAGAGATGAGCTCTCCTCAGGGATAAGGGACTTCGTATAGATCTTTTGTTATACATCTGCTGTTGCTTATCTAAGAGAAGTGAAACATATAACTGCAGATGACCTCACATAATCAAGGGGGTACTTACAAAAATGCCCAGATCAAGAGATTTTGAGCTATATCTTCTAATAGGGACATATTCCAATCTTACCACATCTTTGAATGAAGAACTCTTGTTGTTCTCTAAGTAGTATTACTGCACAATTAATTGTCTGGAACACACTCACAGAAAATTAGAACTCAACCTCTAATCCCATCCTAAAGGTCATTACTTCATTTGAAATTGGATGGATTTTGGTCATATTTCACATTGGGATCAAGCAGTTCCCTATCAGTCTCAAAGCCAACCTTTGTGCTTTGCTTTGCTCTGTGTGTAGCATGTGGCATAGAAAATTGGCTCACAGTATGACATAAAAGATATGCAAACAATCATTCTTCTTCACTGGTCTTCAAACTTTATCTCTGGGGAAATAGGATCTTGTTTGTGTAGAAACCTCAAATCATGATGTTCTCTGTATTACTGAATACTACTTTGATCCAGTAGATGCTTAAGGTAAGAATATACAGTTATTTCTGGAAATCAGTCATCTAGACCTGCCTAAGCAGAAGGTGTTCCGTTCCCCATATATTTTCCTTATCTGCTTTCAAAACCTGCCTGTTCTTTAGATCTTTACAATGCCAGTAGCAGAGAGTTCTTAAATTTAATTATGTGCTGTATGAAAACCTGTTTAGTTTCTTTTCACCTGATAATTTAAGTTTTCCACTTTATTGTGCCTTAAAATATCGTCAATACAAGATCCTTATCACCATTCATTATTATATCTTTTAAACCCTTCATTATTTTACAGGACTTAATTATGGACATTTGTGGTAGACTTGGCAATATATCATTTTCTGAAGTTATCAGGCAAATACGCCTCCTCTCAAGTCTTCCTTTTTTCTGGCAGAACACCTATGGAAATAGTGCTGGTCCTACATGTAACTGCTAGGAATAAAAGTTCAACCCCTTGTTGCAATCAAAATACATTGATTTAAGTCTTCTTAAAAACTTCCAGCCTGAAACTGGAGACAGAAACAGCAAGAAGACAGGGCCACTAATTAAGGTACATACATCTTCAGATGGGTCTATTTATTTAGGTGATCCAAACTTCTTAGCCTGGTGTCACTAATGCAGCAGAAGGAAGCTTTTAGGAGTGAACGAGGTTAGAGGTTGAATGGTGCACTCCATGTAGCGAAACATAGAGCAGTATTAGGAATCAAGGTTGAAGAAGAATTCAGTTAACATTTCCTACCCTGTATCTACTTAGGAAAAGCGAGCTTGTTACAAATTTTATCAGAGTAGGGAACTCATGGACAAACCTTTCAGTGAGTGACTTGAAAGCAAGCTATTTGATTGCTATGAGATGTAAAGAACAAAAATTCATCTTTGAAACATCCATCTTCTGCAGGAACATCAGTATTGACAAAAAGACTATTATAATTTAGGAGCAACATAGAGGATAAATTCATACTCAGAAGCAAAAGAATGTTAATCTATAGCCATTTCTAAATGTATTATGAAATGACTTAGCTTCAAAGTCAGAAAGAACTTTTGGAAGATTTCATTTCAATACACAATGACAGTCTTTACTAATATCAAATTCCCCATGCTTTAAAACTGCATAAATTATTTTAAAACAATGCATTAAAGCAAATTACAGGTTAACTTAAGTGACCATCCTAATTCTGTAGTATAACAACCTTTAGAAAGAGTTTAGTTGCATACCTGTTGCTCTTTGGTTGAATAGCAATGATTGTAAGACTTGAATAACATATATAGATAAATCATACATCTGAGCTAAATTTTTTAGAACTTTTATCTTGGTTTTTCTGAGGTCTATATTTCCCTGCCTAAGGCATCTGTGTGGCAAACATACTGTTTCAAATACAGAAAATCTGCTTATTCTACCGAATAAATGGAAAATAGACATTAATAAAAGGGGCCTCTGACTAAGATTTCATTCCTCTGAAATTTTCATAGAGGAAAACTGTCATTGCTGCCATCCTGCATCTAATTTGATTGACTTTGCAGATTAAACACAATGGAATTTGCAAGCATACATATTTACACATGGAGGACAGTAGATAGCATCATAAACTCATTAGAACTCATATAACATGAGTGGAAACATGACACATCCCCGTACAGTGGATCTGTACAAATCTCCAATAAAGCCCTGGTTAATTCCTCTGTTACGTTTGTTTTCTCATCCACACATGGGAAGCAGAACATACACATTTCTATACAGCAGGCTTTAGGTCAATTTTGAAAGAAAACTTTCACAGTGAATTTGGAGTCCAGAGCTGGTGTATAACAGAAAGAATAAGCAAGAATAGCAAGAGACAGAATCAAATTCAAAGTTTGAGTAACCATAAATGAGAGAGGTTTGGACAAAGGGAAAGAATAACATGGGGAGTTAAAAGGGAAAGGCACAGCACTTACAGCCAGCAGGACTGCATCACATACCTGGAACACTTTTCCCAAATTGTCAAAGAGGGCTTGACCAGCGCTGACTTTATGCTTGACTCCTCTGACTGTGCCATTTTTGCTGAGGATGTTGACTCGCTTTGTACCAAACCCCTTCTCTTTAGTGGCTCTGACTAAAATGAGCAAGTCATCCTGCTCATTCTCATTTTCATCGCACTCAGACCCTATGTGTCCATTCTGCTGCCCCTCCACTTCGCTCAGCCGACTGGTTTGGTCAGTCTCCGAGCTACTGGCATACTCGGAGTCCAGAGAGTCGGCAGCCTCCCCATCGGCATACACCTCCTTCAGCACCCTCCCGCTGTGCGAGGACGCAATGCGGAATCGAACCTTCCTCGACAGCCTCTCGCTGTCAGCCTTCATCTCACTTTTAAACATCGCCTCTTCCATTGATATAAGTAGTTTGCATTGTTCCAGCGTGGTGCCCATTGCATCTGCCAGTTTGTCACACTTAGCAACAATATCAGCACTGTTTTCAGTTGACAGGGGTTCTCATATTAAACTAAAGAGGGTTCCCAAGAAGCTACACTGCCGTTCTGCAGTTAATAATGGATGTGTTTGTGCTATGGTTACCTTTAAACTAAAACCCGTAAATTGATCTCATCAATTAAATATTAAAAAGCCATTGTGAACTTTTTAGTGCTAAGGAACAAAGCAAGAAAGGGAGAAATTATATTCCTTGATTAAAATAAAAATTGAGACAAACACATGATAAACCAAATAACAGAAATTACATGAGTTTATATGAATGCAGTTTTTCTTTGTTGGAGAAGGCAAAGAGGAAGAGTTTTTTCACAAGATCTGCAGAGTCAAAACTACTTATGTACATTACACCTGAGGTGAAAATCATGAACTTCAACCCTGGAGTCAATGATCAGTACATATCTTTCATCAAAACACTTCCTTCCCTACCAGTCAGACCTCATTCACCAAAGTTTGCCCTTTATATAAGCTTACAGAGATTCAGCAGGGATCTCTGACTTGGTGTTTTGTGATGCTGGCCTTTTCACAGACTGGCAGAGCAGCAGGGAAGCAATTAGTCACAATTTGTTGCACAGAGTAACCCAATGTTATTAAATAAACCTGAGCCACAGCAAGTACCACACAGTAACCACAGCCTCTGTTCTGTTTTGTCAGTTATTCAAGGGACTGGGCCAGGGGAATCTGAAAAAGGAACAGGAGAAAACTAATTAATTGGGGCAACAAGGATCAAGAACGTAAAGTAGGATAAGGTGAATTCAAGCAAAAGGGAAGCAAATTCCTCTATCCCAGCAAATCACAAGTAGAGGTTGGTGCAGTGTTTGGCACCCAGCTCTAGATGTAAAAACAAACCCACACCTGAGGTTTCTGGCTGTGTCCACTCAATATCACACAGCAGCACTTGAGACCCCCAAGTCTTCTCATTCTGAGTTTGCACGACGATCTCTACCCACGGTGCTATTTCTGCATTTCCTCCATTTAAAGTAAAATGCAAAGCATTCCTCAGAGCAGCATCAAGAACTCCATCCCCTTCTCACTTTCCTGGCAAACATTCCCTACACACTCTCTACGGCTTCATTTTCTCTCTAGGTTCATGAATATGAATTGCTTCCTGAAGCCTGTGACTCCTCGACAGGTGTAGGCATGAAATGAGCCCCTAGATACTCAGTCAACCCAGAATGGTATCGCCTGTGGGCATGAGCAGCTGCAGAGCTTCCAGCATCTGAGGGGACTTTCTGGCCAGGACTTTGGAAATGCAGGCTCAAATATTTCAGCAATTAGTTGCAGTTTATTGTGACCTTCTTTTGAACAAGAGGCATGAAAATACTGCTATTCAGCCCAAGTAAAATCACAGTTTTTGTGACTAAACTCTATAATTACTTATTTTCCATCCACAAAATAGAAACACAAATGTATAGTGGCATTTCATAGCATTTGTGGTTGTCACACTTCTTACTAAAATTATGTGATTCACTGTATTATCAACTACTATTATTCGCATATAAAAAAATGGGCAAAAGTAATGTTACAAAAGTTAAAATGCATTGCTACTCATCTTTCAGAGAAGAAAAACAGTTTGTATCAAAGTCTGTACTAATATTGAATACAACTATAAGACACCTTGTGAAATATAGCTGCTTGACCAAAGGAGTTTTGCAATGAATGGAGTTCACTATTTTTAAAAACTTACTTCAGAACCTGTAGTAATGAACTTTTTAAATAATTTTTTAATTCAATATTAAAATCCAAATGCGTTGCAATCAATTGCCACACATTAGGGAATCTGAACTTCTATGACAGAAATATTTTGCACAATACTTTCATAATATTTTTATCTCCTCCAGTTGATGCTGTAAATTCTTTAACATAGAAACAATTTCACTCCTACTGCAGGCAATGGGAAACCTTGTATTGTCTGTAGTGCAAAGAATTTGATGCTACCCAAGTGATTTAAAAAGTTAATGTAGCATTGAATAAATGCAGAATTAACCAGTAACACTTTTTAAAAACACTCCAAATATTGTGAGCATCTTGTTCTCTGTTAGTAGGAAATTAGCTCATCATTTAGTTTCGTGGCAATCCCATTACTCATTTGGAAACATCTTTATGTCTGATTAGGGGAAATGAGAAACTGTATGCATAGTTTTCTCTGCAGAAAAATAGTTAAGTGCATTGGAGAGTGCCCCTTGACAGAGGTGTTTACACACTAAGATTTCAACTTGATGTTCCAGCTGGGGACCTTCTGTGAGCAACAGTGCACATTGCCAGCAGGAAACAGCTTGTGTTTACGGTTGTGTTCATGACATAAGACATTTGAGAGTTCAAAGACCTAAAATGCACATATTTGTACCACCTGCTGGGTACATGTTCTCAACAAAGACAGAAAGGATGAAACTTGACTGAGCATCTCTGTCCCTCCTGGAGAATTAAAATCTGTAGTAAATCCTGACACTAACGCCACTTAGTGAGTTTGATGCTGCACCCTGACAGCTGTTATATTTGTGTTTATAATTTTGTAACTTCTCTAAGCAAACGTCTTTTCATTCAAAGGGCTATTTCATTTAATGAGCAGTATCCATTAAAAGCTAATGTGATGGGGTTTTGCAGTAATGAGATATTTCTTACCTGTAATTATGACTCTTCCTGAATAATTTGGCTATTGTTAGTTTTTGTTTCTGCTTGGTTTGGTCCTAATGTTCTGCCATTGATTAAATTGAGGCCAGGGGGTCCAGCAAGCATAAAATTGAAACACAGAGAGAAAAAAGTTGTCACTACAGAGATTTCTCCTAAATAGAAAAACATTCTGTAAAAAAAACACCTGTAAAGAAGATATTACACTCATTTCTCTTCTTTGACATTGTCTCATCTCACAAGGAACTGGACTGACCCATTACTTTGATGTTGCTGCTGAATAAAAACCTGCTGAATAAATAACCTGATCTCCTTCTATGACAAGGTGACC